TCTGGGCCTCCTCAGGTTCCCTCTCTCCACTCTCATAGCAGCTCGATCAATCTCATGGCCTTGAAAGGTCACCTGGGCAGGACTGACTCCTCATGTCTGGCTTCAGCCTCAACCTCCCTTCTGACCTCCCACCTCCAGCCTCCAGGGTCACCTGTGTGTCCCATGAATGACCTCGTACTGCCCACCCTGCCCCTCCTCCTGAGGACACCAGTAGCGAGTGGCTCACCTCCCACTCGGTGTCCAAGGGAGAACCTGGGCATCGCCCCTCCCCCCATACTGCTAGGTAGCAGCCTGGCATCCTACCGGGAGGTGCCTGTCCAGTTCCTGTCTCTCTGCTTCCTGCTGCTCTGGGTGGGGCTCCCCGCTTCTTCCTGGCAGCCTCCATGCTTAGCTCCCTGCCCCCTCCGCCCTGACCACATTCTCTTCCATTAGCCAGAGTTGCAGAACATGACACACGAGCCCCTCCGTGGTCGGCCTCTCTGCCTGGTCTTTCCCACTGCGGCCAACACCCCTGGGGTCCACCGCATGGTCTCGTCGTCCTGTCCATGCCATGCAGGCCTGACACTGGGCCTTTGCACGTGCTTTTCCCTCTGCCAGGACCACTCTTCTGTCCTCGTGCTCTTGGCATCTGTTCGGTTCCTCCTTGTATCAGTCACCTGCTGCTGTGTTAGACAGCACCCCCATTTGTGGTGGGAAACAATCACAGGCATCGATCCCCATGTCTCCCCAGGTCCTGGGGTTGACGGGGCTGAGCCAGGCAGTTCTCACTCAGGTCTCAGGTGGGCGTAGGCAGATGGCGGCTGGGCCGGGGTCAGCTTGACGGGCTCCTCACATCTGTGAAGGTTGAAGCTGGCTCTCAGCTGAGACACCTACCCGTAGCCACCCCCGCGTGGGCTGGGCTTCCTCTCAGCGTGGTTGGGAGGTTCCGAGATCAGTTTCCCCAAGAGAGACTGAGCTGTATCACCTTTGATGACCTGGTTTCAGAAGTCCCACAGGATGCATTTTATTTGTTAGAAACTGGGGACCAATCTAGTCTGAGCGCAGTGTCAGGGATCGGACCCACCTCATGCCGGGAGTGGTCCAGAGTGTAGACGCGTTTGAAACCATGAAACCACCCCCTGCTCCGTATCAGCTCTGTGGTGTCTGGTGAACATGGGGCCCTAGAGCTCAGCAGAAGGGACCCTCCGCTGCAATGTCTGATGTCTGATGGCTCCGAGTCTGAGACGTGCAGGGACACAGGCCAGCACCAGGCCCACCGCCCACAGTGATGGCATGTTTCAGACAGAGTCCGTGTCCACACCCCAAGCGACCCCTGTCCCCCTCCACAGGGCCCCTGGGTTCTCCTGGTAAAACCCCCTCTATTCTCATTTTGCAGTGAAGCTGCTGGGAGACCGACCAGCCTGCAAGTTGTGACATTACCGAGGTACAGTGTCTTCTAGGGGCACCTCCTCATCAGATACCTCCAGCCCATGTGGGTGTGTGCAGGGAGCGGCAGTGGCGCTGGGGACAGGCTGCCTGTCCTCCTGGGCTCAGATGGAGCGTGGCTGCTCCCTTCCCCAAAGCCAGGGTCTGACTTCGGCCTCCTACTAAAGCCATGGAAATATCCATGCGTAGCTGGTGCGCCCGTTTTGACCAGTTGGATGGCATTTGGCTTTAAAGAGGGTGACCCACTGGCCTTGTTTGCCCAGGTTCCAGTGGGTTCTGGATTCAGGGCCTTTTTCGGTGCCGAAACCAGGAACGTCGCAGGCAATCCCAACCGAGGCAGCCACCCACTGTTTTTCTTTTTTAATCTTTAACTATAGGAAAATACACATGACCTGAACTTATCATCTGAACCATTTTTAGGTGTCCTGCTCAGTGGCATTAAGCACATTCATGTTGTAAAACTAGCACCACCGTCCATCTCCAGGACTTCTCATCTTCCGGAACTGAAACTCTGTCCCCATTAAACACACACCCCATTCCCATTCCCCAGGCCCTGGCACCCCTCTACTTCCGGTCTCTGAATCTGACCACTGGAGGGACCACGTATCAGTGTAATCAGAGCATTGCTTCTTTTGCGACAGGTTTATCTCACTGGCATATGACCACAGGGTTCATCCATGGTATAGCATCTGTCTGAATCTCCTTCCTCTTTAAGGCCGACACCCTCCATTTAAATGCCACCCCAGGAATGGAAATTGCAGTCATTACTGGCAATGACCAGTGGCCCCGCTCATTTTTGCGGGGATGCACAATAGTTTAGTTGGGACTGGCGGCTGCTCACACGTATTTCCCAGGCGGTTGGCCCTGACAGTGCTATAAGCCGCTGCTGGAGCGGGTCCTGTGACAGCCAAGTCAGGTAGGTGTTCCTCACCCCGCTTGGCAGACAGGAAGCCTGCAGGCTGGGAGCCTGGAGACCTGCCCATGCCACCCAGCCAGTGACACAGCAGAGCCGGGTGGACTGTCTGCGTGTCTGATGGCCGTTCCTTTGGGCCAGCTACTTCGTTGGGCGACCTACCCATCCAGAGGCCACTTCCAGGCCCCTCCCCGGCCAGAGTGAATGAACACAGGACCCCTGAGACCCTCCCACTTCCAGTCCAGAGGAAAGCAAAGCCCCTGGGGCCTTCTAGTCCCACTTCTCAGACGGGGAAGCTGAGACTCAGAGGCCCAGCCCTCCCCAAGCCCAAGGAGACTGTCCAGGAAGTGCCTCAGGAGCCGCGGGGCAACCTGGAAGATCCCTTGTCCTGGGAGGAGGCCACCTCGGTCCCTTTCAGCAGCTCCACCAGCTCCCTACTGGGGACATCCACTGATCTTCCTGCAAACTCAGGCCATGCTGTGTTGTTTTTCAGGATGGTTTATCCCCAGCCCATGGTGCTAACACCGTCGTGAGTAAACTTATTGGAATTTAACATCGTGCTCTCTCTCGCTGATCTAAAGACTGAAGGGCAGTTCCACCGAAATCTCTCCCAGAATTCCCTTTGCCCGATTCTTTCCTTTCTGGTCTTCCTGAGATCTGAACCTGGATGGAGGCCCACAGAGATTCCCCATCCTTCTCTCCCTCTGTGGCTTGCATTTCCTGTCCTTTGTCCACAAAGAAAGTGGAGAGTGTGAGGGGCTTTCCTCTCAGGGGAGGGGTCCCCTGTGCTGGCAAATCCCAGCTCCCACCTGGTGTCCTGAGGGTCCAGCATTTGGTAAAAGTTGAAGTGATTTGCATCTGGTAGGTTTCCTTCAACTGCCAAGTCCTTCTGGCAGGACGGTCAGTCCTGGGGTGTGGAGGGGATGGAGGCTGGGGTGGGGCCCCCCATGGGGGCGGTGAGCACAGGGCCTGTGTGTGTTCACCTTCCTGCCAGCCCACACGATGCCGTGTGGCTCTCTCTTGGTGCAGTAGGAAAGACGTCCTTGTCCTGACCCCTTGGCTGGCCCCCATCATCTGGGAGGGGACCTTCAACATTGACATCCTGAATGAGCAGTTCCGGCAGCAGAATGTCACCATTGGACTCACCGTGTTTGCCATCAAAAAGTAAGTGGTGAAATGACAGAGGTAGGGACCAGGAGGTACGAGTGACCAGGGACATCTTGTGTCCAGTGCTGAGTGGGGTGGGGTCCTGCCCGCCCTCCCAAGGGGTGGATGTGAAAGTGAGAGCCCAGAGTCACTGCAGGGGCTCGGCCTGACTCTCCAGATGGTCTCCCAGTGCTGGCCTGTATTGCAGCATTGGGGGGAGGGTGTGTGTCCCCTACTTACCGAAGTGCTCGCCTTCCCAGTGAGGGATTCACTAACCTGCCAGTTCAGGGCAGACACAGGCGAAGCCCCTCTGTGCTGTTCGAGAACTCAGAGCCTCTGAGGGCTCAACACACTTGCCTGATGCTGGGGGAGCTGCTGTCCCCATGATGGGGAGCTCGTGGCCCTAGGGGACCTCAGGGAAGAACCAGCCATCTGAGGCAGTTGGAAAAGACTTCCCCAGGCAGGGAGGACCTACGAGCCAGACCTAGAAGCTGACACCCCTGGACTCTAGGTCGGGGCCCAAGCAAGCCCCGTCTTCTGGTTTCCTCGGTTCCCCTTTACTCCTCACATGCTGGACCTGGTTCATGACGTGGGTAAGGGCGGAGTTCAGGGTGACCCCTCCGAGGACAACCAGCAGTTTACCGAGGACCTTGTCAGTCTGCCGCCCTGCAGCCTTCAAGGCAGGACACTTTAAGGGGTAGTGAAAGGCGTGGGGGAGGGGTGGGGGGTGACAGGGATATCCCACTCAAAGGGAAGGGCACAGGTGGCTGGACCCTCCTGGATCCCAGCAGNTGACCTGGCTGCTGTGTGGGTGGCTTCTAGCAGGTGCTTGACTCCTTCATCCCCAGACCTGGCTTCCTGGAGGACTGAGAGCCACATGCAGGGGTTCTGCAAAGGGGCAGCACGCCAGCCTCGGGCCTCCTCTCGCTGTGGCGGTCTCACCCATGGAAAGAGTGGAGCAAATGTGTCTCTCAGAATTACAAGTGCAACGTCACCTGAGTCTTTACTGATCCCCACACTGAACACACCTGGTCTTTCTGTTCCTGTAGCTTTGTAGTAGGCCCAAATAGGGAAAGAAATGTCTTATCAACAGGTGAAGCATAAACAAATTTGGCATAGCAACAACGCAAGGTACTCAACACAAAAAGGAACGAACTCGTAGTACATGTCACAACATGGATGAATCTTAAAACATTATGCGGCGTGAAGGAAGCCAGACGAAGGAGCGTGAATCGCACGATTGCATTTATACGAAATGCTTGAAAGGGGAAATGTGTAAGGACAGGAAGCGGATTAGTGGTTGCCTGGAGCGGGTGTGTGGTGTTTGCTGCCATGAGGCAGGAGGGCACTTGTTGGGGTGACGGTAGTGTGTGCATCTGGCCAGGGCGGTGGTTACACACGTGTATACATTGGGTGCTTCAACCTGTGGACCTAAAATGGCTATGTTCTATTAGATAGAAATTATGCCTCAAATGAACTGGGTTTAAAAAGTTTTGAAAAATGAAACAATTTCTTCAAAACGGAAGGTAAATTATTTCCAACCTAGATTTTCCTACAAACTACCTAGAAAGTACAAAACTGTGAAAAACACATATAAGACAGGTAAAGGCTCAAATTCTACCACCGATGTCCCTTAGTGTCTGGAAGGTAGTAGAGATACATTATCTCATGGGCAGCAAATGCAGACAAGCATTGGAAGATCAGAGAAGTGAGGGATGAATGACTTGAAGGGGCACGTGGGTAGCGAGGTTCTCTCAGTTGTGAGCCGTTAGTGTATTTGAACTCTCGACCATGTGAATACATCACATTCATGAACATAAAAATCGCCATGAAGACAGACCAATAATGACTGTTTCCATGAGCATGAACATATGGGGGAGGATGAAATCCTTGGGGTGAGGTGGTGGTCCCTTTGTCCAAGTGGGGCTATTCCTGTTAGGCGGGTCCAGCCCCCCTTGGTGGGAGGGTCAGCAGTGGTCCTCTGGTGTTTCAGTGGGGTCATTTCCATCTCTAATGAAAGGAGGTGCTGGGGGGGAGCTGGGGTAACTGGAGGCCTGGGTAACTGGAAGTCGGGAAACCCTGGGGTAACGTGGGGTAATGTGTAGGGAGGGAAGAACCACCTGCCCGCCCTTCTCTGAGGGAGAGAGGAGAAACTGTCTTTTTTGAAGGGGTGGGGGGAGGGAGCAGTGTGTTTTTCCAGGACCCATCAGCTTCAAGTCAAGTAGTTGTTTCAACCTTGTTGTGGAGGGCGTGTGGATCGAAGCAGCAACCTTGGTGTTATAAGCACTGCACTCTAACCAACGGAGCTAACTGGCCGGCCCAGGAAAAGCTGTCTTGGATTTGGATTGGGTCTTAGAGTCGCTCCTGTTATGCTCCAAACATGACTTGCAAGCGGAGGGGGCTGTCCTCACAGGACCCAGGCCAGTCGTGGGGTCTGATTTCTGACAGAGAGGGCCTGGAGCCTTGAGGAGAGTGGAGTGATCGGGTTTCCACTGCTGTTTTCCAGGAAAACCCAAACGCTGCTCACTTCATTCAGTGATCTTTCTCCTAATCGTCATGCTCGTCTTGGTCTTCTTTGGGTAAGAAACGTACATGACTGTCAGGGTCTGCCAGGCTCAGGGAGAAGCAGCAGCAGCAACAGGTCAGATCCTAATGGGGTGCCCTGAGCTTTCATCCCTGCCCCTGCCCCAGAATCACCACAATAATGATAGGACTGATGGCAGCTATCTCATGTTGCCACCGGATGACGCTGCCTTCAGTACCCTCGTATTGAGCCTCACCTTGTGAGTGACTGTCTTCCCATCACTTTGCAAATGGGGAGTTGGGTCAGGGCAAGGAAACTACACCCTCAGCTGTGTGGCTTGGAGTGGGGAAGGCCAGCTTGGGAGCCATGTGGTTAGCTGCGTCCAGATGGAGAAGGTCCTGGAACTCTACTGGGGGTTGGGGACCCCGCCAGGAATCTCTCCCTGGGCAGCTTTGGGCTGAGCCGGTCGTGCACGGGGACCCACTACAGCTGCCACAGGGGCTTGGATGGGTGCACTGGCCTCAGTGACCCCTCTCCCACCACTGCCTTGGGACCAGTCACCTGAGATTGGGGGAGAATTGCCCCTGGTCCTGCCTGAGGCCCGGCAGCCCCACTGGGGAGCTCCCGGCCAGGGCTCCAGCTCCAGCTTTTCACGGGGATGGACAGGCTGTCCCAGGACCAGTCTCCTCAACAGTGGCCTTTGGTGGCTCTTTCACAGCACTGGTGTCCTAAACCCGAGAATCCCGATGCTGGGGACCAGGCAAGAAGGAACAGGGTGAGTGAGTTAAGAACAGGGCCACACTGCCCCTTACAGCCTTGAGGACTGGCCCTCTACCGGGAG